AGGCTGTTGCTAAGTTGTGGAGCACTGCAGAAGGTAGTTATGTATGGTACAGGAATCTCATTAGATATTATGCACTTGGGGAGTTGGCCTTGTAGCACTTGCAAATAGTCAATGATGTATCTATAGGTCATTGTACTTCCATTTTAAATTGTTAGCTCTCTTTGTTACTTTGTTATTCTATTTTATTCCAGTCTTAATTACTGTTTTCTTTAGCATATACACCCCATATTTCAATCAGTATATTCTTATCAATACTATTTAAGAATATAAAGGGCTACAGATACCTAGGTACCACACTGTGACGCATGCATTCTCAGCAGCTGTATTGTGATGTGTTGTTCAGACATTCTTTGTTTGACTTCGTAGACTTCTAAATTTTCAATATTACTAGCAGTGAGCATTTTTTTTTCCAGAATGCAGGCACAGGTATTGCTTATAAGCCCAGAGAAAAAGCAGATCAAGATATCTTCTAGTTCAACTCCAGTAATTTTTTTTTTTTGCTGCAGTTGCTCCTTCTATGTCTGGTGAAAACCTATTTTTATTATTCTAATTAGTACTTAAATGCCAATGTGGAACTTTTTGAATATTAATTTTATTCCTACATTCATTTTTTTCATTCAACTCTAATACCTTAGAAGATTCTGATGTTCAGTGCAAGTTAATTTCCCTTTTTTGTCTCATATGTAATTTAACCTCTTGCTTAACATCTTCTCAAAAGGATGATATTGAAGGCTTGATTTCTCTCTCTTTTTAAGACATAAGGCTAAAGAAAATACCTTTTGCTTTAAAAGCAGGTAATACAGGCTTTGGTTTTAACATGGTTTCCTTCCTTCAGATGTGAGGAAAATAAGTTTTATGTTGAATGCATTTGTTGGCTTCACTTTACAGAAGACTTCCTAAGTGTAATGGGATGACCTCTTGTTTGGAATTGGAATCCATTCCAGGTCATGATTTTTGACCTGGTAAAACTAGTCTTCATCCCAATTAGCTGATCACTGTGGCTTTAGTCATATCCTGTGCACCTCAAATACAGGAAATTAGGGGTGTGGTTGAAGACTTCAATCTAGTTAAAATATGATAACTGCAAATACCTATTTTTTCTTTGCTGCAGCATGACGCCTCTCCAAGCCTACTTTGAGATAGAGTGGCAGTTTGTAGGTGTGAATTCTGGACTAAGAACAACACATTACAGATTGTAATTCTGAATTTGGAGTTATGTTGTATAATTAAAATAATGATATCTTCTTTCTTGAATTGCTGGTATCCCACCATTAACACTAAATCAATGCTCTAAAACACTTGCAGAGCAGCTTCACACCCTCTTTTACATCCCCACAAAGTCAAAATGATGTTTATGAGGAGGAGTAGAAACTAATCGAGAACTATCTGGTATGTTCTGGCAATACAAAGGAGTTGGTGCAGAGGTGGATTTAGGGGAATTCTTCAGAAATGATCAGTGTAAACACATTGAGGTGTAGTGTTGAGGTACTCTGAGACAAATTTGCTTGTCCGCAACATGCAGTGAGTTGGGAATGATAGTGTTACTGCTAGATTGTAGCCCTTAAGGCCCTCGGTTTTGAGCCTTTAAAATCTCTGCCATATTAGCTAAAAATTGAAGTTGAGAACAAAGGAAATAGGAGGTACCTCTGCATGCGTGAAAGTCTTACCTTTTATTAAGGAAAACTGCAGAGATGAGAATTGCATGGTAGCAGCTTTAAAAGTCATAACTTTTTTTTTAAAAAAAAAAAACAAAAACAAAAAACTTCTGTTTACATACTATAAAAGGTAGAGGTGAATCCTGCATTGTCTAAAAATAATGAAGGTAGTCTTTTTTGTAGAAAATGTGATGGGCAAAGTCAACAAAACAATGCTTTGCTGCTTGTCCTATCATTATGAAATATGCAGCAGTTCAGGAACATTTAAGTACCAGATTGTGTTTTCATCCAGGAATACTTTAATTATAGTAAGGTGAAGATTTGCTGTTTTCTTGTCTGTTTAAACCATTGTTTTTATTATTGCTGTGTCTTGGGTTGCTCTGGGGTTCTATGAAGTCATGGTTTTTTTCCCCCAGAAAAAATGGCTGAGTAAGCAGATGTCTGGGATGGTGTGAATGAACTTCAGTTGCTGTGGCTGAGCTGAAGAGTATTTGATATGTGCTTAGTGCTTGAACTTTCAGGTTGCTTTGAGTAAAATGCATGGCTTTCCACCTTGGCGGTGATTATTTATGCTGACATTCTACTTGGTTCTGATGCTTACAATTTCACAAGAGAAGAGCATCTTCTCCAGGCATGTTTTTTTCCTATATTATGTATAGAACTTTGTAATGTAAAGTGTATGCTATTAATGTCAAGTTCTTGTTTAGGTTCATTCAACTTCTTAAATTTGTAGAATATTATCGTAAATGTGTGGGTCACTTACCAAGATTAGAAAATATTAACCAATACAGATATTCAGTGCTATCTTACCATTCAGAAATACGTGAAAAATGTTTAAGAAATGAAGACAGTGGTAAGTGCTCAAAAAAAAAAGTTCAGAATTGCGTAACTGTTTATCTAGTGATAGGCAGTGCAACTTGAATGTTGCAACATGCCAATGTCAAAATTTTGCTAAATATTGCACTGTTACCCATCTTGGCAATAGGTCACTGAGTCTGGGGCACAAGGAATCGAGTATTTTCTCCCTAATTCTGTCTCTGGAGGACCTGATCAAGGAGTACTTGTCTGCTGTGAAGGCTGCTGAAAGGCTATACTCCTTCCTTTCCGTAGGGAAATGTAGGGGAGCTGCTGGCAGGGGGTCCTGTCGGTTTTGGAAGGAGACCTGACAGGGAGTTGGGTGAAGTGGCTGGGCAAGTTGCATCATCCTGGTGCTCTGGAAAAAGATGGGGAGAGGAGTAGAACCAGCTGAAGGTTGCACAGGGTGGTGTGTGATCCAGTACAAGGTCAGTGCTGCTGTTAACCCAGTTCAGTGTATTAACATGGGCTGTTGCTTTACCCCTCTGTAGGAAATGATTTACAGTAGAGATTGGGTTGTGCATTATAAGATGTCATGGTAACTTGTTTTCTAGGATTTTTTTTTCCCTGCTTTCAGGTGCCGTAACATTTGTCTTAATAGGCAAGTACACTGCTTAAGCAATCCAGTGTAGCCATTGTTAATGGCAGGACTCGAATGGGCTCAGCAGTTCATGCAACAGTATTTCATAAGCTTTGCTTCAGAACATTAAAATATTTCAATCGCTACACTAACATTCTTGTGTTGTAGGATTTAAATAGATTGATATTTGCAAGCTGACCTGGAACAGTCTTTTTCCATCAGAGTAGCCGTCTGATGTAAGCATATGACCATATGTGTAAGATATCAGAGTGATTTAATTTTTCAAAAGCTGAGGAAGTGACAACCCTAATGCTGCAAGCAATGCCAGTCTAGTCCCTGTCAACATGAAAGTTGCATACCTTCGAAGATAAAAAAAATCTGTATTCTTTGTGCAGGGCTTCCAGTGTGGCAAGAGAATATGGGAGTAGAAAGCATTCTAATTAAACATTTTTTCCTACAGAGGTGCTGTAGGTGTCTACCTTTCTCTGTCAAAAGAATCACTATAAAAGCTTTCATGGATTCAGGTGGCTAATGCTTCTGTATGTGTATTAGGGGAGTATTAATAATGCTGAGAATGTTTTAACACCTTCAAAACATCCGGTGAGTGTCACTGCATTAAAATGAACTTAAGTCAGACTATCTTAAAATAAAACTAGGTTTTTAGTGTCTACCACAAGTCAGCAGTGACCTATCTTTAGCACTAGGCACAGCATGAGTGGAAACTGTCATCTGAGATTGACTTTTAATGTAAATATGTCTGCAAAATGATTTAACTGTTACTCATGCTTTAATATGTAAAGCTCTGTGCTCTACAGGATACTTACCATGATAGTGTTTTCTTCTCCCTTCCCCCAGTGTTGAATGAATCCCATTGAATTTCTTGCGTTTTCATCATTAAGTATGTGTTGCTGGCCTTTTCCTTGTTTGAAATAGTTACTGTGGTGGAAAGCCTGGATAGTACCTAGGAAAAGAGATATGGGACAGGGGGGAGGACCATCACTCTCCAGCTAATGGATAGAATGGAAACTTGGGCACAGCAGCATGGTTCATTCCAATGCCCAGTATTTAATGGACTGATTAGATTTTAACTTCCAATGTTCCTTTCCTAAACTTTAAAATCTAATGCTGTGTAAACAATTCTGAATATATGCTACAGTTCTTTCGAAATACTTTGTGCTTGGCTTAGGAAAACAAAACCACAAGGTAGTATGCTGCTTAGCTGTTGCATTAGCTTTGAGAAAGTATTAAGAAAACTGACCCTAAAATGAATGTGACTTGTTCACGTGGCTCTTCCATCAGTATTATAATACTGACACATACTTCAGAATATTTTGGATTCAGCATGCATTATACATCGGTATGTGTACATACATAGGTATTTATTACTGTTTCTGGGAGCCTTGTAAACATCTTGGGTTATAAAGCAGATTGTAGCTTTATGTATTCTTTTGTCATTCCAGTAATACGATAAGGTTTTTTTTAAAAAAAGGTTTTTTTGGGTAGGTAAGCTGGTGATTAAAAGACCTGAAAATCTTTGTGGAGACTAACCCCGAAAGTTGCTTCTATTTATGTTTCTGATATCCTCTTGATTTACAAATTTACTTTGGTATGCGTTTGGTGTCTGTTCTGAGAACAAACTAACAACCGGCAATGTGATGATATGATTAACAGGTTCTTGTGTTATTTTAAAATTACCTTTTTGATGCTATATTTAGCTGGTGCCTCTTCATCAAATTGCCGTTGTCTGCAACTTCTATGTAGGCAGTTTCAAAAAAAAAAAAAAAAGACAATCTGTGTCTCATAGGTATCCATTCAGCTTTTAAAGGCACAATACAGTTTCTTGCATGTACTTAAACTCGACTTGTTTCAAAAGGCTTTTGCAGATAATGTTTGGCAATTACTAATACCAGTCAGTGTAGTTTGCGTTCTGCTTGTGCTTTATTTCTTGTCTTTTTTTCTTTTTCAGGCTAAAGAAATTTTGACAAAAGAATCTAATGTACAAGAAGTGCGATGTCCAGTCACAGTCTGTGGAGATGTCCACGGACAGTTTCACGATCTCATGGAACTTTTCAGAATTGGAGGCAAATCACCAGACACAAATTATTTGTTTATGGGGGACTATGTTGACAGAGGCTATTATTCAGTTGAAACAGTCACATTGCTTGTAGCTCTTAAGGTAACTTTTCCTCAACTGTATGATTCTAAATGACACTTATAACTACTTTGCTCACTACATTTAATCTCTTTTAAGAATATACTATGCTTATTTTATAGATAAAATGAAATGCTAGCTTTCTTACTTTTCTAAAATATTTCTGAAAATATAACTTTCAGGTGCAAGCATATATAACTTTCTAAAATAAGTTCTCTGTATATATATGTGTGTGTTACTTAGGCTAGTATAAGTAAAGAAAGATACACAAACTTTGCATTCTAAGAAATATAGAAATAGCAGCTTTTTCAAACTTACAGACCTTGCCTTACCAAGCAAGGAATGCTGCATGGTTGTAGTGGGTGTAGATGTTATGCTTGGAAAGAGAAGCATAAGGCCTGTGGGATAAAAGAGCTGAAATATTTTAAGGATAAAGAATTAGGAGTTCTGCAAATGAGCTTCCACTATATACACAAGCACAAATGTAGTGTGTGTGTGTGTGTAGATATATAAAAAACATGGGAAAGTTTGCAATTCATCTCCAAGTACATGATATTAAATGTATTATTCTATTTCAGAGAGACATTGTAATTGAATCTTTATCCTTAAAAATATTTTTTGCTGCTTTATTGGCTTAACAAACGGGAGAAAAAGCAAACTTGTTTTTTGGGGGGCTGGGGATATAGAATGGACTGGGCAGGGGTATGCCTGTTTTGCTGCCTCTAAAATAACGTGTTACGTTTAGGTCCGTTACCGTGAACGTATCACAATCCTTCGAGGGAACCATGAAAGCAGGCAAATCACACAAGTATATGGCTTCTATGATGAATGTTTAAGGAAATACGGAAATGCAAACGTTTGGAAATACTTTACAGATCTTTTTGATTATCTTCCTCTAACTGCCTTGGTGGATGGCCAGGTATGTTGAAGTTTAGAAATTAAATGTCACCAGTTGTAAAGGTAGCTGTTACTTTAAAGCTGTTAGAACACTGTATTAACTTTGCAGTTTTTCTTCTAATTGTTCAGTAGCTAAAATAGAGTAAATGGATTGGATAAATTCTCTCTGTATGCAACTCTTTCAGATTTTCTGTCTACATGGTGGTCTCTCTCCATCGATAGATACACTGGATCACATCAGAGCACTTGATCGCTTGCAGGAAGTTCCCCATGAGGTACTGAAAAAAATAGACTGTCTAAACTTGTGGTAGGACTCATGGTTCAGTGTATATCTTAATACATATGCAGGTTGAAAATGAAATTCAAAACAACTTAGCAGTATGAAAATGCCTATCTTCCTGTTTAGTTTTCTGAAGGAAACTTAAGAGGCATGTTCTTGCCTAAAATAAGAAACATTAACATACCTGAGATCTCAACAACTAGGAGGTGAGAATGACTTTTTCACAGATTCTCCATTAACTTCCTAGTAGTATCTCAGGGGTTATCTGCAGTAGTTGTAGTTGATAGCCATTCTGTTCATTACTGTCTTAATGAGATGGTGTAGTAGGTTTGTTCAGCAGCACATGTGTTGCTTTTGATTATTTTCATGTTTAGTTTCTGAAATAACTTGCATTCTTACAGGGTCCAATGTGTGACTTGCTATGGTCAGATCCAGATGATCGTGGTGGCTGGGGAATTTCTCCTCGAGGTGCAGGCTATACATTTGGACAGGATATTTCAGAAACCTTTAATCATGCTAATGGCCTTACATTGGTTTCAAGAGCTCATCAGTTGGTAATGGAGGTAAGCAGTGTCACTGTCAAACTCTGGGTTCATTGGTTGATGCATTAATGCCATGTTTGGTATGTGTAAGATGTGCACGTGGGCTTCTGTGACAACATCTCATGATACAGGTGAGAATCTTCCTGAAACTCTTTATTTTGAAACTGTCGATTTCCTACTATAGGTTTCGCACTATCGGAGCTTCTCAACTTGGCAGTGGAGCAATTTCTTTTTCTTTCAAAAAGTTACCATGACATCACAAACTAGACTTTATTAGCAACTCTGGTATTACACTTCTATGCAGGTAGAAGGGCTGTTAGTGTTCAGTCTCTTGTTGGGAAGATACACCCAAGCATGTGTGCCTTAAAGACATCTTTATCCTCTTTAGGTATGGGCTTTTTGCCCTTAGGCTTCAGTTACACTCTGACAATTAGTATTTTTAAATGTATCTGGGTTCTGGTTTTGACTGCAGCTTAAAATTGCAAGTGGGTTGTGCATTTTAGAATTGCTTTTACAACAGCAGTGCAACCAAAAAATCTTTCTGTCCATTTCAATGAGCCGAGCTTACGCTTGCTAATAAGCAACATGCATGGGCTATTTTCCCTACTCTTTTCCTTTCAATAAATGAAGACTTACCCTTGATGTTCTTTTTAAAATGGTGCTACAAATGCCACTGAGGATTTTGCACATGTAATAACCTATTAAAATGATTTTATATTAGGTAGAACAATGTGGCTGTCATTATCTTCTCCTCTTCATTTTCCTGTGCCCTCTCTCTCTCCAGGGATACAACTGGTGCCATGATCGGAATGTAGTAACAATTTTCAGTGCTCCAAACTATTGTTACCGTTGTGGCAATCAGGCTGCAATTATGGAACTTGATGATACTCTAAAATACTCCTTGTAAGTATCTTTAAAGATGAGATTCATGCTGAATGTGGTTGTTAGGACAGTTGTTCTAGCAAAATACCATTCAATTACTGTGTTCAGGTGTGTTTCTTCCCTATATATTCTTGGAGATTAAATGAGTATAAAACTGTCAGATTAGTCACATCTAAAATGCTACAGACCACCAAATCTGTGGAAGTGTTGAAATCTCTTGCTTGTTGAATTAGTGTGTATTCTTACTGAGTTTAGTGAAATTCTGTAGAAGTCTGAAGAAGAATTTGTAAGTAGGACAACCCTGTCATGTTTGAGATGATGCCAGTCTAGGGCAAGAAACAGTTCTTCAGACAAGGATTAATTCCTTTCCAATCAATAGTTCTTTGGTAACAATCATAAAACTAGTTTAAAAATACAGGGATTAAAAGTACTTACTATCAGGAGAAGTGGAAGAAATTGTGCACTTGTTCTAGGAAATGTTTTGTTTGAAAAACTGACCTATATGTTAACACCACTGCTAGTGTGATCACATAGAAAATACATGAATGCAAACAGAGCTGCTGCAGTTTCATTAATGTTGGTGCTTTTTTCAGTTTGCAGTTTGATCCAGCACCACGTAGAGGTGAACCGCATGTTACTCGTCGCACCCCAGACTACTTCCTGTAAAGAGATTTTAGACCTGTACAGTATTGCCATGAACCATATGTTGACCTAAAGAAAATGGGAAGAGCAACAGTAACTCCAAAGTGTCAGAAAATATTTAACATTCAAACTTGTTTTCACATGGACCAAAAGACGTGCCATATTCAAATACAAAGCCTCTTGTCGTCAACAACTGTGACCACTTTAGAATGAACCAGTTCATTGCATGCTGAAGCAACATTGTTGGTCAAGAACCCAGTTTCTGGCATAGCGCTATTTGTAGTTACTTTTGCTTTCTCTGAGAGACTGCAAATAATAAGATGTAGACATTAACACCTCGTGAATACATTTAACTTTCCATTTAGCTATAGCTTTATTCAGCATGACTGTAGATAAGGATAGCAGCAAACAATCATTGAAGCTTAAAGAACATTTTTAAAATAAGTACCAAGGCCTCATATTTGTTCTGAAACTGTTTGTTTGTTTTATTTTCAGGGAATACTGTTTAATTTAATTGTATTGATTTTTTTTTTGTCTGCACTCAGTTCCCATTCCCATTCTCTGCCCTACCATATTGTCCTTTGTAATTGTCCAAGCATAGTGAATTACTTTGAACAGAACTGTTTTTTTCTGTAAAACAATGTTACTGCAGGAAAGAGCTGCAGTGTTTTTCATAATAAACTTGTGAACTAAGTATGGAAAAATGTCAAATTCTAATTGCATCTTAGGTCAGATCTGGTTTAATAAACTAGCACTTTGCTTGATGAGTTTTATAAACCCATCAATTTCCACCTTAAGGTAACTAAAAATGAGAAGTTCAAGTATGCTGAGAAACTGATTTACTGAATTTTATCCCAGGGAGCTGTCTGGTCACCTGCTGTCAGTGATGTGAGGATCAAGCTGGTTTGTTACTGGAATGTTGTTTAGTTTTCCCTCTTGGTGCTCTCTTCAAATATTCAGAAATAGACATTATCCTATATTCTTCTCTGATTATTGAAGCTTTTTTCCAAGTGTAAAGCTAAGATTGAGATATTTCCAATGTAGGTGCTAATACTGGATTTTTTTTTCTGGAAAAAAAACAAGAATAAATCAATTTTCTAAATATTGAAGGAATAACTTGAAACTCAATAGTATATGTATTGCCCGAGCTTCCATTTTGAAACATAATGACATGGTTTATATTTCTGTTTAAGATTCTTTTACTTATTTCATGATTTGAATCCTGATTTATTTTAGTTAAAATGGTATAGAAATTTGAAAAGTTTGCGTTTCTAAAGCTTGCACTCTTATTGGGTGTATCTTCAAGAGACTTTGCAGGCTGTTTTGATGGAAGACTCGATATTCGTATTGCTTTTGAAACTTTATTACTCCCTTGGGCACAACGTAGACTTTGCTACAGGAAGGTTATTTAGCTGTATTTTGGAATTAAGCACTGTAAGCAATTTTGTGTATGTCTAGGTTACAGATTAAAAACATGGAGACATTATTGCAGACACACAGACACACTCTGGGTGCTTTCTTGCTTTTCTGCTGAAGGAACTGCTTCATTCCCTAATTTGTAATGAAGTTGCTTAGAAAAAGAGTGGTGCTTCTTTGTTCCGTTTCTGAAAATGCTGAGTGTTTACTTCTCTTAACCAAAAAAAATCTGACTTGTCCTGCAGGTTGGGCTCCAGACTACTTCTCTGGAGCCCTTCAGTCTTCTAAAGCTTGATCTTTTAAAGGAAGAAGCACCTACTAAAAATAGGTGCATTTGAGATCACCTTTTTTTAGTATAACAGGAGCTTTGCTTTGATCACTCTTTAAAAAAAAAAGAAAAAAAAAGTCGTCAGTTCTTCACTGTAGAAAATAGTTCACTCTAAATTGCTTTTGCTTGCCATTGTCTGTATGCATAAATATTTTTGTGGATAGAACTTTGTGTCTTAATTGACACCACTCCTTCAAGAGCAGTCACTTTGTCCCATTTTCTGTTTTCCTTGTTACTTCAGTAGGTCTGACTCATCTTTTCCAGTGGGTCAGCATGTAAACATGTAAACAGACAGTTTGTTACACTTCTCTGCTCAATGCAAGCAATTTTTAATGAAGTCAGAGGAAACTGTGCTGAAAGTCAATCCAATCTCTGCACTCTGCTTTTTTCCACATAATTGTGTTTGGATTGGCTGCTTGAAGATCTCATGGAGAATATGGCACTGAACAATGAATTTTCACTTGGATGGAGTTTGGCAACAAGCATTCCTAACAATTTGAAAGCATATCTAGAAAATGCTGAAGGAGCAGGTTTCTTCTTCAAGAATAGAAGGAGAATTTAGGTGGTAATATTTCTTCAAGTAAACATAACTGTCTTGTTTCTTGGTAGCAGATTAAGTAGAAGAGCCCATTCATGTGCAAAGCTTTGCTCCCTTTAAACTGATGTCACCTATGGCAGAGAAACCAGCACATGTAGGGTTTGTATTTCTCTGCTAGAGGTCCTTTTTTGATGGTTAATTAGTTTTCTTCTTCAGTGCAAAGAATAAATAATTCCATGAAAGGTGAATAGGGGCAGCTAGAAAGCCAGTATTATGGTAGCTGGTGTTGTGGGTTTTCTTTTTTAAAGAGGTTATTCTAGTTTTGAATGAGGGCTAACGTTTGGTTTTAACTTGTCTGAAAGCAGCTTTCAATAAAACAGGGTACTCTTCTACAGACCGATGTAAGCATTTACAGTGCCTTTTACCTTTCAAAATTGGCTGATATTGGAGAGGCAAGGGAGCCTTTCAAGACTTCAGTATTGCATTTTACTTAACTCGACGTCCTGTGATCTGGACGTGTACATAAATTCATGTGTCAGACAAGTAGATGTCTTTCATTTGTGGACACCTGCCCTTCTGGATTAAAGAGTCACCTAAGTTAAAAACAGTGAAGTTTTAGTTACATGTACTCCTTACAGGAAACCATTCAATAACTTATTGAAAGAAAAACTGGAAAGGATCTGGAATGTATTTCCCTGTCTTTTTCCTTCTTTGTGTTCTTTCTGCAAGCTTCTTTCCTGTCTCCTGTAAAACTTGGAGCTGTTGCCTCCTTCCCCTCCCTCCTGCTTCTCATCAGGTTCTAGCCAGCAGCCCTGAATTGTTTTTCTGCCGGTGAATCCAAGCAAACTGCTGTAGTGTAACCTGTTCTGCAGCGCTCATGAGAACTGGGTTGGCAGCTGCAACAGCACGTGTCGGGATATGTAAATACGCATTTTCCCCAAGGTAAATCAGTGCATATGTTTGTCAGTTCATGCTAATATCTGATTGTTTTAAACTGCTGGCCCTTGCACACAAGTCGAGGGTCACTGCCGTGAATGTTTTGGCAGCGTTACCCATTCTAGGTTTTCTAATATTTCTGGAAGGATTTTTGACATGCAGACATGTGAGAATGAACAGAGCCAGTTAATTTCTTACTCTCTCTCCTCCTGGATGATAACAGGATAAATTCTGCATTGGGAAGAAGGCGACAAGAGCATGTATGTGTTCCTGAGGAAAGCTTTCCCGTTTCGTCTCACTGTTCCAATCTGGTTGCTGTCAAAGTCTTATTTGAAAACATTCACAGTTTCTGGCTTCTTAAAGTTACAATTCCTGTTAGCCCATGTTCCGAGTTTCCAGTGACTTTAAAGAGTAAACTTCGAAACACTGAAATCTAGTTTCATAAAATAATTGTGTGGTAAGACTATCCTGGGCCTAATTGCTCTGTCAACTAGCAATTCAGCCTTAATCGTACAAGCAAAGCATTTCCCCATGCAAATACAAAAATAAAGCTAAAACACCAATGTTAGGTTTATTTGGCACTTTTCATCGTGGTTCAGTAAATAGGCTACAATTCTTCCTGTAACGGTAATGTGTTTCAAGTGTTAATAGTATGGGAATAAAAGACTAGATGGTGGTGGAGGGGAAACAGGGATGTAAGAAGCGGAACAGGGCTGCAGGATAAATGTACTTGCAGAGACTACAGTCCGTGCAACTGCTTAGCAGTGACATTTTTATTGCAACTGTACAGGTATGTAATTAGACTTGTATGTCAGGCCCACATAGGTTGAGGCAAACCTACATGACAGAAATGTCTCTAGCACTCTGCAACCACATCCCTGGGTTACAGAAACACAGATTGTTGAGCAAAAGTGCATTTAAGCAGTGAATTAAAATTCTTGTTGAATGCCTGTGCTGTTTGCTAAAGGGATTGTTCTAGAGAATTAACAATTCTTTGTGAGTTTCAGGAGAAAACAATTTGAAAGCAGATTAAGTTTTAAGCAAAGATTTGAGTGGATTGTGTAGAAGTATCTTTCAGTATATGTGAATAGGCATAAAAAAGCCACGCAGAGTAAGCAGTTCATGACTCTGCCCACTGCGGTTTTCCAAAATGTTATTTTGGTGCTCTAATTCACTTGGCTGTGTTCCTTTTGGATGAGAATGAAGGCAAGTTGCTCTCTTGAGCAAGGGAGCAGAGTTCTTTGGCATATGTTCAGGAAGAAAAGGCTGAAACAACAACTCTGGCTTAAACCAAGCAGTGCTTCATGTTCCAGCCTTTGAAAACCTGTCCTATGGCTTAAAAGCATCATTACTCTAGATGGGGCGAGCTACAGTTCTTGACCTCATAGTTGTAAATGGAACTGATCTGGGATGAAGATTAAACTGATGGCCTATCCCATATAAAACATCCATCACATAGTACCTGAATACTACATGTGTATAATTAGTCAACATGAGGGAAAATACTTGAGAGAAAATAAAAAAGACATAATTATGTCTTTTAGTGCTGTTAGTACTCCAGCGGGCTGCTAGAGAGGCTATGGAGTATCTGTCCTTGCAGCCTTCCAAACTGGGCTCGGCAGAGCCATGGCTGAGCTGGGACTGCTGCTGTTTCTAGCAAGAGATTGGGCTAAATGACTTCCTGAGGTCTCCTCCAAGCAACGTTTCTGTGATAAAACAAAATCCTACTGGGTTATAGTATACTTGAATTAAAATGTAGTCTTATTGTGGTAGCTTGCTAATCAAACTGAAGCTGTTAAGACTTCTTGATTTGTAAAACATGTAGAAAACAAAGGGGGAAAAAAGCTCAAGTAACTTCAGAGGGATTTCAGTCCCTTTTTGCTCAGTGATGGCATCGTGCCAATTTATTCTGCTTTGGGGTGCTGAGAAGGGAGCAATGGTGCAATTAAAGGTGAGTAGCCCTGATGACAACTTGTGGGCAAGTGCTTTTCATGAGGTAAGTGTAGATTTTTGCAGATACCTGGGTCATTGCATAAGGTTGTGTAAATCAAATTAAATGTTTGCTGTTTGGGCCTGTCACATGCAAATGTCTTGCTCATCTGATTTTCCTCAAACTGAATTGTTGCTTCTAGATAAGGTGTCTTCTGGATTGTGCATTTAAAATGAAGCGCTGAACTAGCACATGGGGATGTGGAGTTCAAACTCACAATCTCATGGTCGATTTGGACTGAAAGGCATTGACATGGGGAGGAAAGAAAACTTAACCATACAGTTCTTCATCAAAGAAAACATACTTTACAGTAGATTCTCTTCCTTTTGTTTTTTAATATGTTTTGTACTTTTGATGCTCATTTGACAGTTGAAGTTCAGTGAGTTGATACGAATTTCCTTGAAGTTAATGCTCACGGGGCCCTTCTGCATTCCCTGCCTAAAGGAGACGGCAGCGTCTCTGCCAAGGAAGCTCACATCCTTCAATTTCTTTCTATTTCTTTGGAGATTTTTTTTTCTGTATTTATTTTTCCATCTTTAACTCAGTCATCTCACTTTGGAAAAAGTGGGTCCAGAACCCACTGAAGCCCTTTTTTTAAAAAAAGTTGTGATTTAGCCTGACACCTGAACTGCAGCATGCTTATATCTCATGAAATTTCCTTTGAAATACCAAAGCCCTCGCACTTTATTGTCCATGGCATCAGTACCAGCGCAAGTTCTGTTCCCACTATGTAACCCTAGAAAGAAAACCTGATTTCACTAATACCACAATAGGTTATCAGGGATATTCACAATTTTATAAACAGCCACTTAGGGTAATTCTCAACTTAAAGCAAGTCTATTTGTATTTTTACTCGGCTCATAGAATAGTGGGAATGTTCTACCGTTCCTTCATGGAAGACTTCCCTTTGTTTGCAGCAGCTTTTTGCTGACGGCTCCGTATGTTCATTACGCTCATCTGCTATATCCCCTGGCAGAGACAAATCCAGTTGCTGCATCGGAAAGGAGAACCCAGAAACAGGGCATGGATTTCAGTAGCGGGAGCTGCCCTGATGTGCAGGGTCTCAAGTCCCTGAGCACCACGGAGGGGACAGTGATCCAGGCACTGGCAAAGGCGCCTCCGTCCAGGCAAAGGGCAGAGCACGGTGGCCCAGAGCGTTTCCAGCGCTCCCTCCGGCACCAATCCCAGTCCTGCTCCGGCAGGAATGAGGCCTGGCACCATCTCGTGGCTGTGCTTGTATCAGGTGCTGCTCCTCTGCCTCGGTGCCCTTGCCCATCTGCTGCTCAGGGGCCCTGAGGAGGAAGATCACAGTGTTTCCCCTCTGCAGAAAAGCTCTTTCTACCAGAAAATATCAACACTGAGATCTGTGTTTTTACAGTGAACCAGTCCTCATTTTTTCCTGTTGATATGCCTGCCGGTTTTTGAAAACATTCCTGTTTTTATTCCTGAACAAGGAGCATGTTTTCCTGCAAGTCCTATCTCCCCTTTGTGTGGATTAAGTTCGTGTTGAGCTCTGACTCTTGCCTTCTCCCTTCCTTTCTGGCATATTCCACCTTGCTATCCATGGATCTTGGGACTCTTGAGTTTGCAGGTCTGCCTTCTGTTCAGGATTTTGTGAGCTTGGTGTCAATAGAATAAAGCTGAGATTCTTTAAGCCTGGTTCTCAGTCTTTGACAGCCTTGTGTCACACTCTGAATATTAAAAATCTTTTTTACATTGTGTGAGCTCCATTGACTGTGAATTGCCAACAAAAACCAGTTCCTCTGCCTGTAAAAATGGATTTGGGGGCAGAGCCTTTTTTTTTTTTTTTTTTAACCTAAGAGAAACAGCACTAAGAATAGAAGCCAGGGTTTTGGAGGAAATGCAGAACCCTCTCCATGAGGCTGCGCTCGTCCCTAGCACTGTGTCCGGGAGAAATCCCTTCCCCCTGCAGCTGCTGTGCTCGGGGATGTAGGTCAGCGCCGCGCGGGATCTGATCAGTGTTAAATCGAGCTCATCCTCCTCTGGGTTGCTCCAGTCCTCTCAGGTATTTGCATTACAGCTAAGCTTCCCTCATCCCCTTTCCAGATCTGGATTCTCTGTGGTAAAAGGCCTTTAATTTTAATCTATCTGTGGCTGATACGGAGCACGATTATCCACGTGGCTCAGAATGGCAAATATTAGGTTCAGGATTATTTGCTTTGGGAAGATTACCGATCCATCTAACAATGGAAACTGGTGCTCCCACCCTCTGAAAAGGCTCCTTCTTGGCCTTGCAGCGGGATGGATCTTTTGGGTTATTAATATTGACTCACATTACCTTACCCGTCAGCTCCGCAGCAGCACCTTCTTTTTCAGGGCAAACACGACGAGCATCCCGGCTAGCTTGGGAGGTTCATTCCGAGCTATGTAGGGCACAGTGGGAGGCAGCCGTCAGCGCGATCGTATCTATGACAATTTTACACCCCTTTTAGGGTGTGTGTTGTTTTTGTCATTAACTTTCCCAGACTTCTCATTCAACAGCAAAATTCAAAGGCCACGTGGATGGAATTTTATCTGTCACATCTTTAGAGCAACTGTACCAAATACAAAGCTCATGACCAGTATCGCTCTAAATTTGTAACTCATTCATAGATTGTAATTAAACATGGGATTTAGCTTTCTGCCTGCTCCCAGATTTGTTTAGATTTGTCTTATGTAGAGAGCAGAAATCATTTGTGTTTGGTTCCCAGTCTGAGTGAGCCTGTAATTACCGATGACGAGCTGAATTAGAAACACTGATCTCCAGCAGCATCAGGAATTAGGATTACTGCTCCTGCAGATGCGTTGGCCCCAGACCACCTCCCGCCATCATGCGATCCTCTTAGCCCAGCAGTTTTAATGTAAATGAAAAAGAGCATCCAAGGGAAATGTTTTTAATGCGAATATAGTTCTCAGCATTGCTGTACAAGAAGGAGTGACTGACGGGCAAAGAGGTGAATATAGTTCTCAGCATTGCTGTACAAGGAGTGACTGACGGGCAAAGAGGTAAGTGTGGTGTAATCAAAGATCACTTAAGGGTGAGATTGGAGGCTTTTTTTGGTTAATTAGGTCCTAATGAATTGTTAGCAGTTTGCCCAGTTACTAACACCAGGATATCTAGGAGCCCCTGTTAGTATCAAACGACTCCTCTGTAAGTGTCACCTGGTGCTTCCAGGTGCTCAGCCAGCTGCTGGGAATTGCGTTTCCCAGGTATCCTAGAGCCCTGCTGGTCCTCTGGACCAAGCTCCTGCTCAAAGCAGGGCCATGCCTGAATTTAGATCCATCTCAACAGCTGGAGCAGGTTGCAGAGTCATCTTCGAGTGCCTCATAACACCCTGAGGCCTGTACTTAGCTTCTCCAAACAGGCAGTCCTCTCTAGCTCAACGGACTTTGTATAAAAACCTGCATAAACGGTATGACACAGTACAGAAATAGCCCTGTTGTCACCCGGGCTCCAAAGCGTTCTTCCTGGTTGAAAATCCAACCTCATGAGCCTGCCCTCGGGCCCAGCTGCCTTCAAGGAGCACCGAAGCACCCCTGCTTTGGCATCGAACACTTCCACTACTTCCATTCTCCTCCCTTGCTGCTTTATGCAAAGCTGCACAGCTCCAAGAACCAAGACTCGGATCTACACTCCGAAATGAGCAAACATTCTGGGAATTTCCTTCGTTTATTAAGTGAAAGGCGTTCTCTGGTGCTGTTTTTAGGGCAAAACAGGGGCCAAGAGCCCAGCGGGGACCTAACACCCGCCCCCCACCCTGAGGGGCCGCGCGCCCCCGCGCCCCTCAGGGCGGGT